TGCAAACTCCTATCAAGCCGAATACAGAGTGTACCAAGTTGAAGGTTTATTGTGTATTCATGTCCATTACAACAAATCTGATTGGATTTTAAAAAGTTACATAATAATATTCTGGTTTTATGTTGATGCAGGTTTTGAATCTGAACTCCCTTGAAGCATTGGTAGCAATTAAATAGTGTTCAATCGAGAAAGAGGTGGAAGTAGGAAAAGAAATGGGAGTACTAGATGCACATTGGAATTATAAAAGGCTTCTTGAAATGAGAGAGGAAGGAGATCTACAAGGGAACAGTTCAAAGAGGCTGAGGTGTTTGTGAGGAGCTGTATCTCAGTTTCTTGAAAGAAGCACAATGCCTTAAGAGCAAACATACAGTATGTGCTCTGTGTACCAAAAGTCAGGAAAAGACTGTATTATAAAGGATTGTGTGAAAGACGCACAACTAGAAAGAGACAGCAATTTGACATTGAAAGAGAGGGATGGAAGAACTGCAGTCTAATCGACTCCATCATAGTCACACAATGAACAACTGTGTTGTGACACAATGGACTATCCTTGTTTGTCCTTTTAGCAAAAATAAACAATTATAATGTCAGCTCGTCCCTTTAAACAACACGATAAAGAAAGTTTAAAGCCAAGACAGCTTGATATTTATTCCATTTTATTTTATTTTCCACATCATGTATTACTTGCGGTGAAAAGTGCTTCTCATGTTTCAAGCAGAAAAGGAATACTACATTTAACAAGGCTTGTATATTTTTTTGGCTTGGTCTACAAATACTCAACCTTATAATGACAGACACACAATCACCTTAACTTGTCAAATCCAAAGTAGGCTACACCTAAATACTTTATTTAAAACCAAAATGTTTTTTTTACTGTAGCTTTCTGTGAAAATACTGCATAGTTATATATATATATATGTAGTGTTCTTCACTTTTTCAGCAATTGCTTTTTTGACTTTTTGATATATGTTCATTGTTATGCACTCAAACAGTTCCTTACACGTGAAAATTAAAAATCAGCTTTATGGGTGAAATATGGATATTATGTAAGGAGTTTGACTGATTCTGATTCTGGAAGGGGAACGAGTAGATATTGCTATATTTAATAAGCATAATAGGTTAGAAATAACACCTATAACCAATTAGAGATGCATATAAATCCTCTAGCCCCAGGTTGCTGATGTGACTAATGCAAATTTGACACAATAATCAACAACTAAACATGTTACTCCAGCACAGGTTTAATATCACTGCACTGTGGCCTGCTGTGAATTATTGCTTCATTATTTATCCTCACAAATTGCCAAGTTGAGTAGAGCTGAGTCAAACCAAGCAGGTGAACAGGGCCAGCGTGTGAGTCATTGCTCTTGTGTTGGGCAGATTTACAGATTCGTAATACATGAAATATGTCAAGTTAGAGCTTTGAACCGACTGTTATACAGGTAGTGTTTGCACATATGTTTTCAAACTAGGAGGGTAAACCCCTTTCTCTGAGCCAAACCAGTGTTAGGGATAGGATAGATTTGCTTGAGGCATGACCAATTGGAAAACAATAAGCACAAAATTAGCCAGTTGGAAAAGAGACATTAAGAAGTCGGCCATCTTGGGGAACAGCCAGAGGTTGTGGGAAAAATGTTTGTAAGGGGTTGGATTTGCAGAAGAAAGAGTGAGGTTGCCATGTTTCCTTTCAAGACCTCACAGCGCATGTCCCTTGATCACATTTCCAGGTTACATATCTTCTTTAAGCAAACATTTAAGAAGCAGAAATAGAAACATAAATGTTTCGATTCTAATATTAAGCTAGGACTTCAGGGTGATATTGCTCATTAATATTTTCTCGTGAAAGACATAAAATAAAGATTTCAGGGGAAGGCATGACGTGGAGCGGACAGCAGTCACCGTGGGAGATGTGACAGACAAATCAATTCAGTAGTTTGACAATAGACCATACTGTGGTTCAGCCATGAAGAGTCAGCACACATTGGGTTCTAATGCCAAATCATGTGCATTTCTACATTTGACTAAGGGTATTTTTTTTACACCTAGGAGCTTTAGAGTTTACTTTGGATCATACACTCATTTTTTGTTCATTTAATATAACTATTTTTGGGGCATTGGGCGAGATTAGGGATGGGTATCGTCTGAAATGTATTGATTCCGATTCTGCTTATCGATTCCGGTTCTTATCTATCCCCCGTTTTGATTCCAAAACTATAAAAGAAAGAGGTCAAACGTTTAGATAACAAAAATATCTTTATTCTTTTAAGCTTTAACTGACATTTTTACAAATAAAAAAAAGACATGCAATACAAATGTATTACACAATAGCTGTGCTTTATTTTAACTAAGCTATGCCGGTGGCAAGCTATTAACTTGCCTCTAAATGTCTAAGCATTATGTACTTTATACAGTTCAATCTCGAAACTTGGCTGACAATATGTCCATCACAAACGTGTATACAAAAGTTTGATCCTCCCATTTGGGGAAAGAGACTCGGTTTGGTCACAATCCCTATCCTATCTAAACGAACTCCGTACTGGTTAACCTTTTGTTATTCGTGTTTTAATCGGTCAACCTTTTCTCTGTAATTCTTCAGCCGGTAGAACCCCTTGTCGGTCTCCAACACCCTTTTTACAAACATTCCCCAACCTAAACGTCTTCTTTCTCACTCCAACGGTACAAAGGAAAGTTCTGGAGTGTCGCGTACAGGGAACTAGTGTAAAGGTCCAATGTATAGAAGAAATTCGTTTGTAAATTCTTCGTCTTTATCTTTGTATTTACAAAGCTAAGATTATAATTCGATCCTGAAGTCCCACTATAACGAGTAATTATAAAAGAGCACTTTCTGTATTTTATTTCTAAAGTCCCCTTCCGTACTGCACCTCGCCTGTCGTCAGTGGCACCCTCTACACTGTCTGTTTAGTTAAGTCATCAAACTGTTATCTGGTATGACACCAAGTCGGTACTTCTCAGTCGTGTGTAACCCAAGATTACGGTTTAGTACACGTAAAGATGTAAACTGATTCCCATAAAAAAAATGTGGATCCTCGAAATCTCAAATGAAACCTAGTATGTGAGTAAAAAACAAGTAAATTATATTGATAAAAACCCCGTAACCCGCTCTAATCCCTACCCATAGCAGACTTTACATAACTAAGGCTAAGACGAATAGCTAAGGCCAAGAATAGATAGGGGGCAAAACTAAGGTTTTGATATTTTCTTTCTCCAGTTTGCAAATCTATTGTTTTTATAGAAATAAGAAAATTCGAAATTGACTGTAAAAATGTTTATTTTTTTTCTGTACGTTATGTTTACATAATGTGTTATCGACACGAAATAAAATTGATTCGATACGGCCACCGTTCGATAATTGAACGGTAATGTGACACGGAACAGAAAAAGAAAAATCACATCACTTCGGAGTGAAATCTCGTAAATGGACATACATGGACATAAGGGGTGGCCAGCGGACACCGCGTCTGCCTGGGCCCACCTTATGTCCCCAGATGGCGTAAATCCTGGCAATTCGTCTTGGGTTTTAACACATAAACATACCCATGGGCCATTGCGTCGTAAAAGAATAGCCAAAAGTGACCTTGGCCTCAAGCCAAGGGTTGGGGATTCCGGATCCGCCTATGATTTCAGGGATTAACCGAGGGGCCTACCGGTTTGTCGGTCGGCCACCACACTCACAACATGTAAAAGGGGACTCCTCGTCCACCGTGGTCGGAGACATACCGTCGGAAACAGGTGGAACTCCTACTTAGCCACTTAAGTAACACACTTACGCCTGCACACAACATTTTCGTAAAATTTACTAACGTGTCTGATCTTACGCGAGTATTTACGTCAGGGGTAAATTCTAATCTGTTGATTGTTTACACCTATTTTTTACGGTAAAATTGGGGAGAATTTGAGAACTGTAACTGTGATGTGAGTAGTGGTAAAAATCTCGAACGTATTATATGGATTGTATTCGTAATGTTACAACTGAACTCTAGAGAAAATGATACACTGATGACCAATTTTACGTAAAATAGGTGTAAACATCAACAGAAGAATACCTGACGTACAATTCTCGCGTAAAGATCAGAAACGGTAGTAATTTACGTAAAATGTTGTGGTGCAGTCGGTAAGTGTGTACTTAAGTGTGTAAGAGGAGTTTCGACTGTTTCCGAACGGTATGTCTCCGGACCCACGGTGGACGGAGGGAGTTCCCTTTACATGGTGTGTGGAGGTGTTGTGGCGACCGACACGGTAGCCTTCGTTAATCCCTAGAATCATTAGGCGGATCCGGATCCGCACCCTGGCTTGGCAGGTCTACCGCTATTCTTTACGACGCAGCGCCATGGTATGTATGTGTAACCAAGACGAATTCCAAGGATAGCATCTGGACATAAGTTGGGCCAGGCAGACGCGGTGCCGCGGCCACCTTATGCCTCAGTATGGTCCATTTATCGAGATTTCACTTCCGAGGTGATGTGATTTTTCTTTTTCTGTCGGTCACATACGACAATGAGGGGT